CTCCCCCCCAGCACACAAGACTGCTGTGGAATCACACAGCTGTGTTGGGTTGAAACCCCAAGAGCGCTCTCTTCTTAAACAGAGTATTCTCTTGCAAGCAGTGGCTCAAATTATCATGCAGGCAGGTCTGGATGGATATCTGTCTGCCTAGCTTTTGCACTGTGCAGTAGATATGAGAGTGAATGTCTAAAAGAGCAGGAATGAGAGCAAGACTGCCGTTGCCTTGTAGGCCTCGCGGCAGCTGTGCAGAAAAGTCAGAGAGCAGAGGTATGACACTGCAGGTGTCATCTCTTCTCCTTACGCTTTGGAAAGGATTAGAACTGCCACACAAGGCACTGAAGAGCTGCTTCTCCCCCTGCACAGTGGAAATGGAGAAAAGCTAACACCAAGTGTTTCTGTTTTCTGTGGTGGTTGTGTCTGCTCAGCTCACTGTGCCTGCTTCCTTGCAGCTCTTGGTGTTGGTTAGGGAGTCCCTGTATAAAAAGAGCAGCATTTTCCAGAATAAGCCTGAAGCGTTTCATAGGAAAAAATGGTGCAGAGAGGTGCTGGTGTCTGAATCCTGAGTTGACAGGGCTGCTTGCTGCTGGAGTTTGGCCTGAGCGATTGCACTCTGGCTTAACTTGGTGTCTCTTTCCCTGTGTATGTATGAGTTGTCTAGATTAGGTTTCCTTCCTCTGCATTTGGTGCACAGTGCCCAGGAATCTACTGGAGTTCATTCTGGCATTCCCCATAGGTCCTTCAGTGAATCCACTCTGAACAAATTTCCCATGTCAGTTTTGAATACAAGTATTTGCTGCTTGTGCACAGCATGTTGGTTAATTTTAACATTCTCTTTTAAGTCAGATTTTTTAAAAATTGTAATAACCACTTTATTGAGGAGATCAAAGTATTCCCAGCACTGCATACTTTTGCAAAACATGGTCCATCTCCTTCAAGTATTTTGTTTTAGTACAGAGAAATTGGCCCTTGTGTTGCTTTCAATTTGTGCTTCCTAATGGAGAGGAGCCAGTTACCCCATTAAACTCAGTGGGGCCCGAAGAGCAGGCTGCAGGTTTAAAAGGGAAACCTGAGTGCAGCATTCCTGGTGAATCAGTCATGCACCAGCACTGCAGCGAGCTGCTGTGAAAGCATTCTTCTTCATCAAAATCCCCTCTCTGTGGGAGCCCTTCGCCCCTTTGTGCCCTGCTGCCCAGCCTCCAAGTCTCTTGCAGTTACTGGTATGTACATGCTGATGGATGGACTCCTGAAAATCCATCCTGTGCTTGCTCACAACTTGTTTTTTCCTGAACCTCAGCAGGGGCTGCACTCACCCTTTGCTTGGTGTCCCCACACTCATTCACGTTTTGACAGTCATCCAGTGCCTTGGTGGCTGTTCATGCTTATCGGCTTTGGGTGTTCGGAAGCACTGAGGAATGATTCAAACTGGCTTGTGTCCAGCGTGGGCATTCTTTCCCTTAAGCTAAAGGACTGCAAGAGCAATAGAAATGGTTTACAGCATTTATATTTGTTGCTGTTTGTTAAGGGCACTACCTTAAATCTGTATATTTCACCTTGCTGTATTTATCAATGGACTGATGGATTGTCATTTGCAAAGGAGAGTTGTTTTTTTTTTCATTTGATACCAAAGTTCATTAGCTACACTGAGTTTAAGATTATAGTAATTAGACCACTAATAGGCTAAGTATAATCTGTGTGCTGCTGTTGTCAGAATAGCACCAGCCATTTAAGTATGATCAGAGTTGAATGGGTTTTCTAAATACTGAGTGTTCTTGCTTATGTAAGCATCAGCTTTGTTTATACAGAGCTCTTCCTCCAGGCAGTTGTTCATTCCCTGCCCTGTTTGCAGCTGCACTTCTGAAGCAGAAGTGGGTGCCCCAGACCATGGAAATGAGCAATTCCTCCTTTGCTGCTCAGTCTAGTGTTTCACTGTCACTGCTGCATATGTCAAAAACCTCCAAGCCATCAGATGTTCACCCTCAAAACTGTGACCTGGTAATAAGGCTTTTCCTCTCTTAGTTTACATCTGTAATTCTTTCTTATAGAAATATATATATACATATATGTATACTAATTAGTAATCTGCCAAGTACATACTCTATTATTTTAAGCTTCTTCAAGGATTCGTCATTATTCTTAGTCACCCTCAGATGCGAGTTTGCACGTCTCTGGTTTGTTACTTTCTGCTCCAGACCCAGTGATATAAGATGCTGAACGCCCTTTGGTCTTCATGAGTGAGATGAGCTTGCTGCAGCCTGCTGAGAAAGCTACAGGACATCAGCCTCGGTAAGACAGCCTTCACTGCACCCAGGGCATGTGGGTGGGGTATTCTCCCCACAATGCAAACAAAGAGGCACTGGCTGTTGATGTGACTTGCCCAGAATCACACAAAGAGCACTAATGAGGCTGCATCTCAAGTACTGTGTTTTGGGACCCTCACTACAAGAAAGCCCTGGAGCATGTTCAGAGAAGGGCAGCAAAGCTGTGAGGAGCAACTGAGAGAACTGGGATTGTTCAGTTTGAAGAGGAGGAGGCTAAGGGGAGACCTTATCTCTCTCTACAATTGACCTGAAAGGAGGTTGTGGTGAGGTGGGGGTCAGCCTCTGTTCCCAGGTGGCTGCAACAGGACATGAAGAAATGACCTCAAGTTGTACCAGGGGTGGTTCAGGTTGGATATTAGGAGAAATTTCTTCTCCGAAAGAGTGGTTGGGCAGTGGCACAGGCTGCCCAGGAAGGTGGTAGAACCACTGTCTCTGGAAGTGTTGAAGAACTGTGTGGATGTGGCACTGAGGGACGTGGTCAGTGGGCATGGTCGGGAAGAGTTGATGACTGAACTAGATGATATTGGAGGTCTTTTCCAATCTTAATGATTCTATGAGTCTATGTTTGGCAGCACATCACAGGCTGATAGCTGGGACAGAAGAGCTATTCTGCCTTGGCTCCCTGCTGGATCAAGGGTAAAGGGAAAAGACTAATAGCTGTGCCTCAAGTGGCGAGCCTCACTTCATCTGTTTTAATACGTTTCTATTATGCTGTGCTTTTTTTATTTTATTCATCATCCTTAAACCAATGTGACACAAATTTCAGATATACCACTGATGTGCTAATAGAAGTCATGGAGAGCCATCTGTCCTTCAAAGGAGGACCTTGGTACCCTCCCTCTTCCTCGTTCTTGAACTGTTTCATCAGTTCAGGTGGGAGCAGCTCCGGAATGCAACACCAGTCTGAGGGACTTAGGCTGGAGAGGCAGCCATAAAGATGAAATCCACAGAGCGAGAAGAAATTCTTCTTCAGTGTCACTTGGTATATTCGCTTGCTCTCCAACAGAAACTTTCCAAAACTGCCTGCTTGGGAAAAGGGGGTGAGCTAAAGCAGAACTGCACCTGATAAGAACCATTACTCCACAGGCCCTAGAGAATGGGAAGGGGCCGTGTGAGATAGAGCGTGGTGAATGCCAGCATTTCCTTGTGTCCCAGGAGCGCAGTCAGCCATGTAGTTCACCATGTACTGGTGACTTTTTGCTGTAAGGCTGTTTGTGGTGGATTAGCAAGGAGATTGTGCTGTTCTCTGCTGCTTCCAAGGATATTTCTGATTTGCAATTCTCTTACAGTGAAATAACTGAGGAGAAGACAGAGGGCTAATTCAGCAAAATTGATCCATTTGATCAAAATTATGGCTTTCAAGAAAAAAGAAAAAAAAAGAAAGAGGTTAAAAAGCCTGTACTCTTTCAGTTTCTCCAAGGAGCAGCCTTTGGTGGGCCATTTAACACAAATGCTTCAGAAGAAGCAGAAGCTGAAGCACTGAAATCCGGCCCAGACAGTACCCTACGTTGCCTGCACTGTCCTAACAGGTGAAATGGGTCTGAATGCTTGGTCTGACAAAAGCAAGGTTTTAAACGGTGTGAGAGACACAGAAATGCTGACAGCCAGTGGTCAGTTCTCACTGCTAGCTCCTCAACACTGAGAAGCTTTCCTGGACTGAGTAGAAATGTAACTTTGCAAGTAGGTTTTGGGAGGTGATAACCATGTCCAGTGTCATTTAACTAATTCTCCCAGTAAGGCAGAGTGTTGCAATCCTGTCTATTCCTTGGGATATACCCAGAGAATGTGAGTACTGAGAACTGGGTATCGGGTAGAAATGGAGGTCTCTTTGCTATGTGCTCATAAACTCAGTGCACTATACTCAGCTCATGCTCACTGCAGATGCAGAGCCCAGCCTCCACATCACCCCATCAGCCATTTGGCCTCTACCCCAAGCAGGTTTTGCTCAGAAAGGCTAGGCCACTTGGTGCTGGTCTCAGAGCTCACCATGTCAGCTCCTCTGACTGCAGAATGGGATGGAGAATGGGCACACATCCCCTGCGGCCAGCTCTGCCGTGCTGGCAGCCACTTCAAAGATGGAGAGCTGGAAGAAAGATGGCATGCTGTGTCCCGGTCAGGGTGCAGTGAGGGCTGGCTGCTCCTTGCAGCACACTTGGGTGGCATCTGTGCAGCTTTATAAGGTCGTAAATAGCCTTCCCTTTCCCTCAAGGAAACTCCTTGCCAGCATTTGTGTTGGAGTCTCTGTCATCAGCTACACTTGAACACTTTTCACATTAAATACTTCAATGAGTTCAAAGACCAAAACTAATAAATGTAATAACTGTATCACACTATATCACTAATAGTGAAGTGCCAACAGTCAGGCTGGTACCTTTCAGAACAGCAGACTTCAAGCTCAAGTAAATGCTTTTTTACTGCAGCCATCTTCTTGCCAAGTCTTGACATTAAATCTGCAGAGTAGGGAAACTGTTAGGTCAGGGCTTGAGCTGGTGATTGAGCACCTGGTGAAGGGGAATCCCTAAACCAGGGAAGCAAAGGCAGATTGTTAGCACCTGTGCTCTCCATGTGCCCAGAAAGGGTGGACCCATGGTGGAGGCATGCTGGGCTCATATAAGGGCAGCCACTGGAGGGGGGGGTGTTTCTTAGTCCTAGGTTGCTTCCTGAGGAGTGCTGTATAACCAGAGAGTGCTTTATAACCAGAGAGTGCTTTTGCCAGTGGGGTGAGTTTGACTTTTTTTCTGTGTATAACAATTGGCTTTGTTGCTAGTACTTTGCCTGGTATCACCAAGAACCAGTCAGACGTACTTTTGCTTCTTCATGAGAACAGCTCAACAGTGTGATTTAACCAACCCTCAGTTCTCTATGACAACTGGAATCAAAGTGATTGTATTTGTGTAGCTTCCCTGCTGCCCATTTCTGATTCCAAGTCCTACCATCAGCATATTTCATTGTGCTTCTCACTGTCAGTATTCTCTACAAGTAGATAAGGCAGTGAATTCAGGGGGAAGGTCTAGTAGGAAGGGCTTGAGTTTTAATATAGCTGAGATTTATAAACTAAATGCTAGTCCTGAGTATTGATTTTAATTGATGGTTTCTATTATCTTTTTCTTCTTTTCACTGTAACACCTGCAAATGATGTGTTTGTTGTTTGTCCATAGGACTCCCCTGTGAATAGAAGGAATAGTATTATCAGTACTACAAACCTTGGGAAATGAATGTGAAGCCTGAAGTGACAGCAACTTAGCCAAGCTCCAGGCAGGATATTCTGCAGCACGGTTAGAAATTGAAGCCTGACTCTTATCCAAGTGCAAGAGTGATTTTCTGCAGAGCAATCACTTTGGCTGTCTCAAAATCCGGATAGCTGTTCAATCACGTCCCAGAGCTGCGCAGTGCTTAGCATGCTGAAGGAGGGCTGACAGCCCAGGCCTCACTGCATCTGCAGTCCTGGAATGGGAACGTGGATGTTGAGTGATGGGAGGGGGTTGAACTGGCTCCTAAAGGAGCAAATCTTACAAAGATTTTGAGGAATGTGTGAGGCATTACTTGGCAGAGCTGTGTGAGCGTTTATATAATCTTCAGTGCAAAGTCAGTCTTATTTGCTTGGGCTAAGCCCCCTGTCCTTGAATGGAGGAACCATTTCCACTTCACTTTTCACTTGTGCAGTTCAGCATCCAGTAAAGGGGCACTAATTTCTAAACACTATGCCCACATGCACAGATGTATTTTTTTTTTTATGTGTGACTAGCTCATTTCATCCACTTGTGTCACTTATAGCTCTCTTAATAGCTTACAAGCATAATGTGGCTCTTTCAAGGATCCATAACATCCTTGAATGTTGTTTCATCCAAATACTCGCACTCTCTTTCATTTAAATTGAGTAATAAAATAACTTGGCTTCACTGAACCACACAGAAGGGATACCGTACAAATGTTTTGTTATCAGTTGCCAGCAGCTCTTTTAGCAGTTCTTGTAATGTGTTAATTTGGGAGACTTCAGACCTTGTTATTTTTTTCCCTTGCAGATCTACAATAGAGTGATATTTTAAAGAGCTTCTACAAGCTAGAGCCTTCAGTTATCTTCAGATTGTCAGCTGCAGGCAGGGAAGAGTGAATGAAACCTTGTCTATGCCGCTGATCAGCAACAAGATCCAGAATAAGGTTCTTCAAAATGCAGCAGTAGTAAGAAAATCTATTTCTCCCTACTTTCCAACTTGGCCTGTTTAGTTTCTTCAGCTGTCATGCCTGTGATTTGTAAGCATAAGCTTGTATGCAGTGCAGTAATTTTTGTTTGTTTCATGTCGTACTATAGGGCTGCACCAAAAGGCTTTTGACCTTTTGGCCTTGGGCACTTTTTCTCCAGCAGAAACTGCTTTGACAGTTTTCAGGAGTTGTGTTAGAATATGAAAGGATAGGAATGCTGTTCATCTTTACCTTTTAGTCATTCCTCTCATGTTCTTCACTTAAGTAAATCCACACATTGCACTGTTTTGTTTTCAGTTCCTATTTGCCCTCATGCTGAGAGTGCTGGTTTCCATTAATGAGTCCAGCAATTGATGACACTCGATGATAACTCAGCATCCAGAAATCCTGAAAGCATGCTGACTGTACAAAACACAGCTGTAAGAACTGACTGTGAGGTGGCTATTTTTTTTCCCTTTTAAAAGGATGCGGCTATTTGGTGTTCCCAGCATGCGTGTCTTGTTGTCACTGTGGGCCAAAGGGAAGTTAAGTGTGGATTTTGATGGCTGACAAGAGAGTTTCTTCTTTTTTGACCCCTCATCTGACTAGATAATATTCTTGCAGCTATTACAGTAAGGCCAAGAAAGGGGGAAGAAATTACAGAAGGATGCATTCAGAGAATGAATGACAAGAATGGAAAAAGGGCCAGATTCTGAGGTAGAATGAGTAGCAGTCAACAGGGCAAATGGCAAGGACTCAGAAATGCTGTGGATGCACAGAGCTTGTAGTGAACAGATTTTCAGTGCCACCTGAAGAACTCTTTAAGTCAGCAGATAGAAAACACGAGGGGTAGGAAGCTTATTTATCAGGAATTAAGTGTAAGAACACATCCTTCTCTCAAAAGGCCTTTGGGTTCCTTTCAGGGATTCCCAAAAGATCTAGCAGTGTCCTGTGTTTTGTCTACACCAGTGTTCTAAATACAGCCTTCAGTCATACCAGTCCTGTTTGCCAGAACTGAACGAGCTTCACGCCCTGTAAATCCTTTGAGTACCTCATGTTTAAGTCTATGTATTCAGATTCTTTGAATATTCATTTTCTTGGCCTGAAAATATAGAAGTCTAATGCTTATTAATTTAAAGTGTGCTTACGTTTTTATTCTCAATCAAGCCTGCTGCATAGTAAAACATTTCTACCTTACATATTTTTCATCTCTGGAGCAGCATAAACTACCTTGGACTCAAAAGTGTGTGTATCATTTCAGCAACTGCTATCGGTAGTAAACTGTCCTGATAAAGGTGATATTTCAGTTGATTCCTTCACAGAAAAGCTGTAGCTCTTCCAGATGTATACTGGTCTGTTACTGCGTTAAAGCATGCTGTGTATGTACATACATACGCAAGAATACACCATTTTCACAAAGGTAGTACTTAAGATTTATATTTTTTTTTTCCAGTTGGACTACTCTTTAATTCTTTCTTCTCCTGTACTGGTTCATTTCACTGAGACTCATTCACTTCACTCAAGCCATTAGTCATTTTGTTATGCATTCCCTCTGGCTACGCTTGCTAGAACACCCTGCAGATTGCATCTTATCTGAAGTGTTGCATAAATTGGTTTCCAGCAGAAGGAACTTAACTTGCTAAGTGTGGACAGCACGGTTAAGTGAACTTGCAACTTACTCTGTTTCCCTGTACTTTAGGAGGACTGTAAATATGCTCAACAGTTGCTAACTTACAAGAGTATGGTCATGATACGAGATGGGTGACATCCTAACTAATGGAGATGGTCTTGAATAGCCTAACTAGATTACTTCTAAATGTAAGACTATTAGGGTTGGAACAAAATGTACAGGGAAGAGCATGTGACATGGCTTTTAGGCACAGTAACAAGTAACTGCTTGAATGAATCTCTGAGTTCAGCAATTTGAAAGAAGGCAAAGGCCCAAGTTTGTTTAAGTTGGTTACTGAGCACCCACACTAAGCAGCCTCAGAAAAAAATCAGCTTGATCCTTTCATGTTTCTAGGTTGACCTCAGCTGGAATAACATGTATGGTCTGCTCATCTCTGTTCAAGAAAGACTAAGAAATAAGGAGAACCTCTCTGAGAAGCAGTGGCTTGCTTACATTTGATGCACTTAAAAAGGCAATGATATCCTCTTTCTGGAATTGGTTGGGCTACATCAGAGAAAAAACAGCAATAATTTAGGTTTAGTCCTACTAGCTGGAAATCAAAACACAATGATTAGTATTAATATCCTGAACATAGTTTCAGTAGGAAATAAGGGTAGAAAGATGCAACTAGTTTAATAGTAGAAGTTGACTGTTCTATGTAAGGACATACAGGAAATTCTTGCCCATGGTAGCGTGTATTGGATTGCTCAAACATAATCCTAGAATCAGAATGGTTTGAATTGGACCCTTAACATCATCTAGTTCCAACCTCCCTGCTGTAGGCAGGGACACCTCCCTCTAGACCAAGTTGCTCACAGCCCTATTCAGGGAGGGGGTATCCACAACCTCACTGTGCAACCAGTTCCAGTGTCTCACCACACTCACAGTAAAGAATTTCTTCCTAATATCTACTCTAAATCTACCTTCTTCTACTTTAAAGCCAATTTCCCCTGTCCTGTCACTCCATGCCATTACACCAAGTCCCTCCCTAGCTCTCCTGTAGCCCCTTTGCTTTCCAACTCTTATTTACTGCAAGCATATTAAAATTAAACATGGATTCCAAAAGATTTTTTTAAAAAATAAAGTTTTATTAAACAAATTATTTTAAGGACCTCTATGAAAGAATCTTCTGTTGTACATAAAGGCTCTTTTTTTCGGTCCTAAATAAAGCATGTAAGCAAATACAGCTCAGAAATAATAGCTGAATAGTAACTGAAACAGCCACAGTCAAATGAAATAACCAGTAGAAAAGTATCTCCCAAACAACACTTGCATACTAAATGCATTATTTAGAGAGGAATAAATAATCCAAATTCATTGTCCGATAAGCAGAAGCCAGGAATTCTACTCTGCTTCATAGCAGATAGAAAAAACAGCAGTAAATTCCATGCCTACATATTTGTTCTTACAACTTAGTAATGAAGAAAACATTGGTCTATTTTTCAATACTAAAGCATATGCCTTTAGAACTATATTTAAAAAACTCTGTAAATTTAAGAACAAAGGAAGCAAAGTAGCTTAAGTAGATTTCCATATTAATAGAAGATGTTTAATAGCATTAAACAGCCATCTCCATCTTAATAGGTGGATGAGGGTTATAATCTTCAATCTGAAAGTCTTCTGCCTTAAAGTCACTGATGTCTTCAACCTTACGAAGGATTTTGAGTTTAGGTAAAGGTCTGGGCTCCCTTTGAAGCTAAAATAAAAGCATGTCCTAGGTTAATTGCACAAAAGTAATACATACTTAAGAGACAAGGACTTTATGTTATAAATTAGATCTCATTAATCTAAATTCAGGTTTCCCCACGTAGATTCTCCTTCTTTCCCAAGAAAGCATTAAAAAAAAATTATTACAATACAATTTGACATAATCTACTTTAGTATTTTGACTGAGTGCAGCAGCATCCAACTGCACTGTGAGCAGTATGAGTTTGCAGAGCTATTCTAGTGGATGCAAATTAGATTCCTTCCAGACAAAACTAAATTGGAAATTCTGATGAAGACGTGCATCAAATGCGCTGCAATTTCTCACAGGAACATTAGGGCCCAATCCAATAGCTACTTCCTGAGGTGGTTTTGAGCTCTATGAATGGTGAGGATACTCAATCCAACTAAAATTCTTATTTTCTTCTCCTGCACTAAATTATTTCCTGAAGAAAATACGGCCTTATCCAAGGAAACTGAGTAACTAATTTGAATTGATGAAATTATCGTTTCCTGATATACCTAAAAAGACATTTTATTGTGTTTATCCTCTTGGGCAGAATGATTTTCTAAAATTCTGTAATGACAAAGTCAAAAATAGGGGTATGGACTCAAGATCTTTAACTTAGTTCTAGAATAGTCCATTTTGATCTGGAGTCGCATACAGATGTTCATTTCAGTCATGTTTGTTACAAACAAGAATAAATACAAATTCTACATAGGTTAAAGACCAGTTCAGGAAATGCAATTTTTAGGGCAGAAATGGGGAAGAAAAAAAAAAAAGCCATGCAAATTAGCATCTGGAAAACAGTACGTACAATATTGAGACAATTTGGTATTTGATGAGCACTGTGGAAAATAAAGTATAAGAACACAAAATGAGTACTTACTTGAACTTTTAGAGGCTCCACGTGATTCAGATATATGTGAGCATCTCCTAAGGTGTGTATGAATTCTCCAGGCTGAAAAGGAAGGAGAATACATGATAGCTACAGTGACTGAACAAATACTACTGATCTCAGTCAGTAGTTGATCATCCATGATCACTAGATAGCTCATCCATTGCAAACAGATGTAGCAGTGGTATCCAGCTTTGTTTCACATCTCATATGTATTACTTGCTCAAGCTGTTTCAAACTAGCATCTTTAGCCACTGCTGAACAATGTACATTGTGGAAGCAGAGGTGTCAGCAACAAGATAAACTCCAAAGCGCTTCAAGAGCATCCACATACAATTTGCAGGCTTGCAAGTTCTGTGACTTAGCAATTCCTAAACAATGTAGTTTTTTTTATATATATATATATACGTATATATATATATATATATATATATATATATATATATATATATATATATATACACACACACACAAGATCCTGAACAGTACATTCATTTCATGGTTTAGTGGCTTGTGGTAGCAATGGTAACAAGAGGGTGGTTGGACTAGATGATCCTGTAGGTTCTTTCCAACCTTGTGATTCTACGATTTCAGTTTGTCCTGAATATGACACTGGAGTCTTTTAATCCCTCACTCTTCAGACAGTCTCAAATAAAATGATTAAACAGCCTACCTTCAGCCCTGTGACATGGGCTATCATGTATGTGAGCAGTGAATAGCTGGCAATATTGAAAGGCACTCCTAGTCCCATATCTCCAGACCTCTGATACAGTTGACAAGACAGTTCGCCATTTAGAACATAGAACTGGCAAAGAGCATGGCAAGGTGGCAAGGCCATCAGAGAAATATCTAAGAATTACAATACAGGAAGAAGGGAGGGGGGAAGAAATAAAACCACATTAGTGTCAGAAACTTAGAAAATGCAAAAACTGAACAAACACAGCGAGATACAGGAGGTAGTGCAGCTTGATACGGCCATCATTCTGTTGCTGCTTCTCTTTAGACAAGAGAGCACCTGCTGCCTAAGCAATTAAGAGCGGGTCATGACCAGCTGTCTCCTGGGCTTTTTGATCAGAAAAGTCATAAACAGATATTCTATAGAACAGATTTCTGCCATAATGCTGCACAGCAGTTTAGCCTTACTCACCTAGGGGAGCCAATTTATTTCCCTAAAGGAAGACTTTGAGAGCAAAATTAAGCATGCATCCTAAAGCAACTTACAGCCGCTTTACCTTACACATTTCTCACTGCAATGTAACTTTATTGCTTGTTGAGATTTAAAACTGACTAATCATTGGTAAATAAATTCAGAAAATAAAATAAGAGTGTTTACACTTAAAGTGAAGACAGTAAACCTACAGCTAGTTTAAGTAAAACTTGAACTCACTCCCAATATGCGAGAACATTTAGCCTTAAAAATAGCAGCA